TGAGTATAAAGCCAATCTCCTCCTCCTCCTCCTCCTCCTCCTCTTCTTCTTCCTCAGTCAGACCTAATGCCAGCTTTGCTTATCCTGCCCTTCACATTAATTGTACTGAGAGATGCCAAGCATCATCCACATTCCCTAGCATGCTGCTCAAGCATGTTAGCTTCCTCCTTCCAGCAGAAGAGGAAGAAAAAGAAGAGATTGGATTTATACCCCGCCTTTCACTACCCAAAGAAGTCTCAGAGTGGCTTACAAACTCCTTTTCCTTCCCCTCCCCACAACAGACACCCTGTGAGCAGTGTTCCCTCTAAGCTGTGGAGTCTTGTGAGCAAAAAATCTACTTTGTGAGCTACTGCCATTAAAGTTGTGAGCAAGCAATTTGGCCACTGCATAAATTAGTTTGCTCTGAAGCCATCCTTCCTGAGCTAAGACAAAAATGTGTGAGCTGGAGGCCAAAAAACGGTGAGCTAGCTCACACTAACTCAGCTTAGAGGGAACCCTGCCTGTGAGGTAGGTGGGGCTGAGAGAGCTCTGACAGAAACTACTCTTTTTCAAGAACGGCTGTGCCAAAACTATGGGTTGCCCAAGGTCATCCAGCAGGTACAAGTGAAAGAGTGGGGAATAAAACCTGGTTCTCCCAGATTACAGTCTGCGCACTTAACCACTACACCAAACTGGCCAGGATAGAGTTGTCGAACCCACTCTTGAAAGTTAAGTACATAGTTTGATGGTGCATATCATCCATTTAATTAATAAAATCCAGTTTAACCTGTGCATGTGGTTATTTGGGTTGTATGGTTGTTGGTACAACCTCTTTCTTTTGCTGACTACCTGGAGTTGTCAGATGCCTTATATGGCTAGCGGACTCTTTCAGTTTGGTGGGTCACAAAACCGCTTTTCAAATATTACAATAGCATGCACGAGGAGCCTACTGAACACATGTATTAGGAACATATGCTATCTGCGGTCCTCTCAAGATTTGTGTTTGCCATGTTTTATGAACAGGGACAATGCATATATTTCTTATGTGCATATAGCTTTGGTATGCATGAATGCAAATACTGAAAAACCCAGTGGTCAATTCACGGTAAATATGCACATTGCTACTGTTCACACAACATAGCGACTGAGCCTATTGGGAAGATCTATGTGTAGCTGGTAGAATCCATAGCTGAGGCCATGTTGAGAAAGATATAAAAGGTGGGGAATCCATAAGGATTATTTCTCCCTTTCCTTCCTCTTTCTCTTCTCGGCCAGCCCCCATAGCTTCTCCCCTTTCCTGCTTCTTTCTCTCCTTCCCACCCACCAGCCAGCCTACCTTTCTCTGCCCCCTATCTTCAGCATTCCCACCTTCCCTGTCCCTGGCAGCCTCTACCTGGGAAAACTAGTGCCTAGTTCTACAGTGCTGGCCACTGGGGGGACCCATTGCAGTGAAGAACCTGCATGGACTTGCAAAGGGCACCTCACTTTCTCCTGTGTCCCCTTCCCGCACAATTTCCCTCCTCCTGGAAACCACTGTATCCTCACCTTTTCCTTCTTCCTTCTTTCCTTCCCAAACTCCAACCTACCTTCTGCTACCTCAGCTTCAACCATATTATTTATTTATTTATTTATTTATTTATTTATTTCATTTCATTTATACCCCACCTTTCTTCCCAATGGGGATCCAAAGCAGCTTACACCATTGCCTTTTCCTCCTTTTTATTCTTACAACAATTCTGTGAGGTGAGTTAGGCTGAGAACGTGTAACTGGCCAAAGAGCTTTCATGAGCTTCCTTGGCACAGTGCATGTTAAAACTTTGGTCTCTCAGCTCCTAGTCTGAAACTTGAACCACTATACTACGCTGACTTTCACGGGGTGGATGACCTTGGGCAAGCCATAGTTCTGTCAGAGCTGTTCTTTCAAGGAGAGTTCTGGAAAGAGGTCTCTCAGCCCCACCTACCTCACAGGGTGTCTGTTGTGGGAAGGAGAAGGGAAAGGAGTCTGTAAGCTGCTCTGAGTGAAGGGTGGGGTATAAATCCAATCTCCTCCTCCTTCAACACTTGCAAGCTATTGAACCTGGGTGAGTCATGCAAGTCAGGGGAGAGCAACTTGTCTGATTATTGCTGCTGGTCCTGATACATTCTCTCTCAATGGCCAAAACAGCCTTGGAAAGCATCCCCCCCCCACCTTTTACTAATAGAAATCAAGGCTTGAAGTCTGGCAATAACTGTTGCAGTTCCCTAGTAATAGCCACTGAGGTTCATTCATTTCTTAAAGCTATGGGTGCCGTTTCTATCATTTTGGGATGTTTTTGTTGGCAGAGTATAGATATGAAGTAAAGCAGAGCACAATCTGTTTAAAGAATAAAGTAGGTTTATTAAGAAGGGAACAAACTTTGTAAGAAAGAGGAGAATGAAAGAGAAGTCAAATTGTCTAACTAGCTAGGAGGAGACCAGCAGCAAGCAGTACTCAGCAAAACCAGGAAAAAACCCTAACAGAGCCATAGGTGTAGAGTTCAGGGGGGCGCAGGGGCGGGGGCTACCTCCGAAATTTTCCGGGGGGGTCTCAGCCTCCCCCGGGGCTTGATCCGCCGTCCGTAGACCTGAGGGACCGTGATCCCTTCCCTGTGCCTATTCCTCACA